GGTGGCTTTGCTTCACGCAGCATGAAAAAGGACAGGGAGTCATAGAGGAGAATGAGGTGTACAGCAACACACTGGCAGGAGTGTGGGTGACAACGGGCAGTACGCCAGTACTGAGGAGGAACAGGATACACAGTGGGAAGCAGGTAAGATTACAGACGAGTTACACATTTAATATTGAGAAACAAATGTAAAGCCAGCAACAAGAGTCCCTCATTGATCAGATGTATGCTGTTATCTGATGTGATGTGATGTGATGTTAATATACTGGCATACATATAATGTCATAATTCTGATGTGTAATGTCATCAGAAATTGCAAGGTCAGACTGGCTTACATTTTTATAAGTCTCACTAAATCAGTTCTGTCCTTATGTAGCCTGCTCTGTCATATGGAAACAAATTCAAAAAATGAATTGTAATACCAGGAGAAGTAATGGCCAGTATATTTCCAATAGGTTGGGGTCTACTTCTATGACAATGGCCATGGTGTGCTGGAAGACAATGATATCTACAATCACATGTACTCCGGAGTTCAGATAAGGTTTGTGGAATAATAATGAAAATGTGTAAATCTTCATTAAAGTCTGACTTGACTTAGATGTCCTGATACCAAGATGGTTAAGTGGGAAAGGAAATTCATTTAGTGTTATTGAAACAGTTGTTCACCTGTCCGTTGTGCGTCTTTTTTTTCTCTCTTTTTGACAGGACTGGCAGCAATCCCAAGATCAGGCGGAACAAGATCTGGGGAGGCCAGAATGGGGGTATTTTGGTTTACAACTCAGGTGAGAAGCAGAGAAGCGTTTTTCTGTTATATTTTTCCACAGTGAGTCAGGGCCGCTGCTGTTAAACTGTTTGACCAATGTGGCAACAGTTATCCACTAATCAGAAACACGAACATGTGTTTTTCAGGCTTAGGCTTCATCGAGGACAATGAGATCTTTGACAATGCAATGGCAGGAGTGTGGATCAAGACAGACAGCAACCCCACTCTGCGGAGGAATAAGATCCATGACGGGAGAGACGGTGGCATCTGTATATTCAACGGTGGAAGAGGTAATTAATCAATTTATTATCAACCTGTCAGTTGTTCAGCCACAGAAATGCTTGAAACTCATTGTAGTCTAGAGAAATCTACATATAGTAGCCCTGTATTGTTTGATAAATCAGATTAATACTTTACACGTTTTCTCTTAACCGTTCAGTTTAATTTCATGTCAGTGGTTTGTTGGTTGAACAGCCTCTTTTCTGTCATTAGGTTTGCTGGAGGAGAATGACATCTTCAGAAATGCTCAAGCTGGAGTCCTCATTAGCACCAACAGTCACCCTGTACTGCGGAAAAACAGAATATTTGATGGCTTCGCTGCAGGTGGGTAACACCTGCACACAAGCTGTAATGGCTCATCATTTAAAATTGTGATGAGGTGCTTCAGTATAATTATTATGGGCTTTTAAAAACCTTACAAATAAGTCTGTGTGAACACATTGTTTTTAATGACGTACATTATGCCTCGCTAATGTGTTGTTGTCTCCCCCCCCCTCACTTCCAGGTATTGAGATCACTAACCACGCCACAGCGACCCTAGAAGGCAATCAGATCTTCAACAATCGTTTTGGGGGATTGTTTCTTGCATCTGGTGTCAATGTTACAATGAAAGGTACTCTTTTCTTCACAAAGATTTTGCCACATTTGACATGACACAAACCCTGAATTCTAACAGTGAACACATCAAAATCTCAATGACCTGTAATGTACCCATTTCTGCTGTTCCCTCCAGATAACAAAATAATGAACAATCAAGATGCCATTGAAAAGGCTGTGAGCAGAGGTCAGTGCCTGTACAAGATTTCAAGTTACACCAGCTACCCAATGCACGATTTTTACAGGTAATTCACATTTAATAGTGCAATCAAAGTACTTAGAATACCTTCTATTGCTTGTGTGTTTTGTGAATATTAACAAAGTCACTTTGGGTTCCCACAGGTGTCACACCTGCAACACAACAGACCGCAATGCCATTTGTGTGAACTGCATCAAGAAGTGTCACCAAGGACATGATGTGGAGTTCATCAGACACGATAGGTTAGTGTTACTGTGTGTGATTGATACAAACAGAATTACCAACATACACCACGGCCATTCTTTCGCTGAATGTGTGTTACTAAATGTGTGTGCTGTTATCTCTGCTTCCATATTGACATTTTGTTTGTGAATGAAATTGTGTGAAACCATGTGATCCATCAGACTGTAGAAGTTAATAATAATAATTGATCAGATTTATATAGCACTTTCCTAGGCACTCAAAGACTCTTAACACTGTCAGTTATTCATTCACACACGTTCACTCCGGTGGTGGTAAGCTACGATTGTAGCCACAGCCGCCATGGGGCAGACTGACAAAACAACAAGTTGCTGCGAATTTGAGAATGGCACATTTAATGAACTGGAAAACAAGACCTCATCAAAGCATTTACTGCGAGGGAGACACCAAGCCCTCTGTAGTTCTATTAAAATCCCTGTAAAGCTGCAGAACAACCAGCATAGAATCCATCACACCCCTGAGGCCAGTAATAGCAACAAAACAGATCTCCTGCCTGAGAAAATCATCAAGGGCTTTAGCATCGAGTTAAAGGGTCAGTTTGCTCAAAACACAAAAATAATATTTCGATATATTTTTGATGCCTCATTGTTACAGACATGCAGGTGTCTTTGGTTTTATTTGCAGCTCTCTGAGACTAATGGGTTTCTGTTGCTAAGAGCGTAAGCAGGGTGTTTATGTTTATTCAGCAAGATGCAGCCTGCAATAATTATTTAGGAATAATGCACAGCTTTTGGGTGAAATGGTAATGGGCAGAAAACCCCCCAAAAAACAATCCCACTGAAGATTTGTTGGTAGAAACTCAAAATTGTTAAAAGAAGTAACCTGGTTTTAAACCTTGGATCAATACATTTTGATTTTTGTTTGGGTTATTCAGATAAGTCTGGTGGCAACACACAAATTGTCAGATTTAATGAATTAAGGGGAACAAAACTGCAGTTCAATCTGATTTTAACACAGAGGAAGGAGAACCTTGTGGAAAGATAAAGAATGATTCCTAGCAAAGGTCTTCTAGTTGGTCCCTGACAGCTTTTGTCAGGGTAAAATGCTTTAGTTTTTACTGACCACTGAGTATACAGTGTATAATATGCAGTATAATGTGCTTTTGTTTGACCAAACATAATCATTTCTCTTCTTCCTTCTCCATGTGTAGATTCTTCTGTGACTGTGGTGCAGGGACGCTGTCAAATCCTTGTACGTTAGCTGGAGAGCCGACACACGACACAGACACACTGTATGACTCGGCTCCCCCTATAGAGTCCAATACACTGCAGCACAACTGAGCTCAAGACCCGAGGTCCTTTTGCGCTTCAGCAGTAATGGACATAAGACACTTTAAGTTGTGCAGTGGAGGAGGAAATCCAAACTAAAATACAGATTCACTTTGACAGAGCATATACAGCGACTTTAAAAAAACAAAAAAAAAAAAGAAAAGGAAAAAAAAGACTTCGGACACGAATATGCTAAAAGGAGACATTTAGAGAAAAAACGTCTGATAATGGATGCCTCGCTTTTTCTTTTTCTTCAATTATTTGACAAAAAAAAAGGTGACATCAGTGGAACAGAGCAGAAGAGCAGCTGACTCAGGGTTTGTGGGTGTGTTGACTTGGTCGTGCAAGTGACACCGGTGAGGGATGGACAACAAAAAAAAAAAACACACCGAGGCTCATCTGCGATTAAGAAGTGGAAGAACAAGATGCCGCAGTCGTGTACAGATCCATCGCGGACAGATGCTTAGTCAGAAGAGGCACAACTTTTCTCATGAGGAGGCAAAGGCCCCAAATACAACAATGCTTCCATCACTGGGCAACCGACGTGCTCGTATGATATGTACGGGAAAAATGACCTAGCACTTCAGCTTTTTTTTTTTTTTTTTTTTCCCCTCAAGACAGCTGTTGAGATTTGATTTAATGCTTTTTGTGTAGTTTTGTATTTTCATGCAAAAATCTTACTGTACTTGAATGTCTTTATTTTATTAAATGTGTTAATTTTTTTGGTTATTATACCCTAGAATTGCTGTAATTATACTCATGTCGCAGTATCTAACTTCTTTCTGTGAAAGAGATCAGAGAAAAGAGAGGAAAACACTAAACTTTTTCTCCAGCAAGGTTGACTTGTGTACATTTTGCAATACAGAAAAATAGATACTGAAATATGCTTTCACAAGACTTGTATCACTTCTTGTGTTTGGAACAGTATCATAAGTGTTTTTCGTATTCCAGTCTGTTTTACATAATCTATGCATACTTATTTTTTTTGTTTACGGTTTGTTTTGTGGTGTCACGCAAGACACAACTCACAGGAAAATGTGATAAGAGAAAAATCAACATTCTTTTTTTTTACTCATGGCTGCATTTTGCTTAGAGGTGCAGTTTGTTTAGCCAGATAAACCCAACGATGTGTTCACGAACACCGCCTACCTTTTTGTTTTACTTGTTACCAAATCAAAAACATGGGGTCAGTTGTTTAGTGTGTCAAATAGATCAGATAATTTATATACACATCTGTATTCGAGTCAACGTGGTTGTCTTTCTCTTTTTCACCAACAGGCACAAATGCTGCTTCATGGCCTGCAAAGTTTTATTCTAGAGACTTCATTTAGACAGGTCTTGTGAAAGCATTTCTTCTGTGTTTTTTTCCATTGTTTGCCAATGTTGCTGGAGAATTTCAAAAGCTCTTACTCTACTGAAGCTGAGACAAGTATCTATATACAGCGCTTTATGGTTTCATTGCCCTCCCCCCCTTCCTCCCCATTCATGTGTACTGGTGATTGTGGGTTCTCATACAGACTGAAATGTATGCATGTATCATAACATCTAGACTTAATATATTGTGAAGTATTCAATAACCGTTATGTAGGCGCTAGCGTGAATTAAAAGGGTTTAATTTCCTAGATGAAACATTGTCATTTTTTAAAAATAAACTTTATTAGATCATTACAGTAGTGTTTTTTCCAAATGCTTGGAACAAAAAAAAAAATCTGCAACAGCAGTGTTTGTGTGAAGATTACAGGGTGTTGAGCAGTTGAACGAGTGAAGCAAAGTGTGCGCTGTCCAGCGTGGCGTCGTCAGCGAACAGGCAGAGCTTCCTGTCAGAGGAGATAAGAGGGTAAAAATAGATAATCAAGCTTTGACGTTTATTTATATGTCACATCTGTGCATTGGATGTCGCTGCAGCAGCTACACAATACAAGAGCAAAACATACTTGAAGAGTCTGATGCTGATGGTGCTCCTCTCAAACTCCCTGGCCTTCCTGTGTCCTGATTGGATGACTTCCTCTGGCAGGCTGGCGAGTCGAGCTGCGTTGAATCCATAACTCTTTGGACAAGCGCCGGTGATGAACTTGTAGAGGAATGTGATGGTCTCTTGACTTGGGTCCTCACATTCGTTCTCCACCATGCACGCCTGGTAGGGACAAACGGGGACGTTATACTGAGGCACAGTACAGAATTCACAAGACACAACAGGGTGACACTGCAGAACCTGCCAAACACAAGGGAGGGAATTATCTGTGCACATGATTAATGAACAGTTCTGCCGGAAGACTGTGCACAAAATTACATAATTTCCTCAAATTATTTGCCCCATGTTGCTAAAGCAGTGGGAACCTAACAGCAGCAGAAAGCTGCATGTTGTGGCTAAAAGAGCGCCCACGATGACAGCGCCAGGCAAGCAGCTGTGTTGTAAAGTAGATGTGTTCTCTCACACTAAGGTTATGCCATCGATTGCATTCTTTTCGATTGCTACATCGAACGCTGCTTTGGCACTTTGCTGAACAACTTTGGCCTCTACTGTGGGTGCAAACTTGCGGTTATGTAAAGCAGAGCAAAATGAAGTCAGTTATATAGGATTACTTACAGCTTGGGAGAATGATTTCATAGTTTGTACTCATACATTTTTCTTTTAAAGGAATAAATAACTTATCTGTTTGGAAAGAATATACCTCCTAGGCTCTGACTTTAAAAGGTTTCTGTGGGAGAAAACTATGCAAGATGTAGAATCTGCAAATGTCTGTCTGTGTATTAGCCGTAGCATTGTCATACTCACCATATGGCCCAAACGCACAGCAGGGTTTTTGGCGTAGTCCTCCACCAGGGAGTGGTAATGTGTAGAGAAGAGGGTGCGACAGCAGATCTTCTCAGCAAGCTCCTTCACAACAGCACTGGCAATCGCTGTGCCGTCGTACGTGGCTGTGCCCCTTCCTGCGAATAGTTTGCAACTGAATGGTTACATACTGAAAACATATTGCCAACACAATAAAAATATGGAGACGACCACCTCTGATGTTCACTATAAGCTGCTATTAATTAGCCATAAATGTTTACCTAATTCATCCAGGAGCACAAGTGAGTGTTTAGTGGCATGGTGCAGGATGCTGGCCGTCTCGCTCAGCTCCACGAAGAAGGTGCTCTCTCCTACAGAAGACACAGTTGACAATGTAAGCTTAGTTTAGGAGGTGAGTGCTCAGATCATTGCTCCACCTGTGGTAAAGTAGTTTGTGATGTTACCGGCCATGATACGATCCGAGGCTCCCAGCCGGGTGAAGACCCTGTCCACTGGTGTGAAGCGGAGGCTCTCTGCTGGAACATAGCAGCCTAGCTGGGCCAGAATGATCACGAGTCCACACTGTCGAAAAGAGCAGCACAGTCGCTTAATACGGGCCCAGAATTCAAATAAACCTCCACTGTCTATGTGAATGTGAAATTTGAATATTTACATGCACATGGAGAAAAAATAAAGGACTCACCTGTCTCATGAGAGTAGACTTTCCACCCATGTTTGGTCCTGTGACAAGGACACAAGAGGCACGACCCTCCTCGTCAGTTTCACTGCTACCAGAGCAGCCAATGAAGATGTCATTAGGAATGAAGTCGTCTCCAAAAAAGGTCTTGGTGACGCAGGGGTGGCGGGATCCAGTGAGGTCGATGAAGGGCGCAACATGGTTGTTGTCCTCAGGGAGCACTACCTGCGGCCTGGTCATTGGTCCATCTCCTCCCTGGCTGTAGCGTGACAAAGCCAGCAGCACATCTGAAACAAATAAACACTGATCATTTAACCAGTCACCCTTTAAAACTCTTTAAAGAGCACAATTTGCCACCCACATTCTTATGTTATGGGAGTATTTTGCAGCCAAGTTCTGTTAAAACAAAACAAATACAGCCAGACCTGTGGCTAAGGGATGGCACAGTGCTAGAAAAACACATTAAAGGCACATTATGTTACTGCACCAGAGATCTGTAATAAACTGTACAATTATCTCCGGCTGTCAGGAGCAAACACCAGTGTACCATTTCCCCAACAGAGAAAAACAAGCTAATTAGTGCAAACTTTAGTGTAAAGTTTTAAATGGAACAGTCACTCACTGACAGCATTATTTCTAACAAGCACTTAGACTGCTGCACCATCATCATGTTAAATGCACATTATGACGGTTTATGGGGAACATCTGCAGGAAATGTATTCAGAGCAGACACCTGCAATGCAAGTATGTTTCCACAAGCTTAAATAAAGGATTCTCAGGCAATCACCTAAAAAACAGAAGCCAGATGATGAGGACAAAAAAACCAAAAACAATACTTTGCTTTTATTGCTTTGAATAATGTAGACTGAATTTACAAAACAAATGTCCTTACCAAGCACTGCCATGCACTCCACACCGGTCTTCCAGTCTTTGTAGTTCTTGTCAAAGTTGTAGAAAAGCCTCCTCATGCAGTCTTTCAGCGCAGCGTCTCTCTTTTCTTCAAATCCTTGCAGCTCAGAGAACAGGCGTTCGCTCTCCTTTGTCACGTATCGTTTGCAGCCTTTCTTCGTGGACTTCACCTCATACTCCTCGGGGATGTTCCTCTCTGAGACGCTGTCGGGAACCTCCATCTGATAGCGGTTTCGTCCAGTTCCCCAGTAGGCCATGCTTTTACAGCCAAGTCTCTTCTTCTGTCTGTCCAGGTAGTCCTGCAGCTCTCGCTCACAGTTCTTGATTCCTGTCAGAGCCTGGTCGAACTCGGGGTCAAAGCCAGCTTTAGGGGTTATGACACCAGTGGTGCGCGCTTTCTGGTGGTCGAAAGCCGTCTCCCAGCGCCTGAGTTCAGCAGACAGGTCTGGAAAGAGGCCGTTCTTTTCATTCTTCACGCTGACAACTTGGCAGAGCAACGTGGAACGAAATTCACCCAAAGCTGGATCAAAGACAGAAATGATGTCCTGCATTGTTTTGAAACCTTCCAGTGCTGAAAGGAAGTCTGCTATCTTCCGCTTGCTGTAGGTGACCTCCTCATAGAGAACTGCTCTGCTGTCAGGGTGGTCCTGGCCCTTCAGAGGAGTACCAATGCTGTGGATTTTACTCAGGAGACGCTCCAGATCAGGGAGCTTCTTCAGCAGGTCTGTTACCTCAGTAGCTTGAGCCTGAGCTCCCATCAGGTCCTCCACCGCGTCCAGTCGGTCCCTGATGGACGTGGGGTTACACAAAGGAGCGCAGAGCCACTGCTTCAGCAGCCTCTTGCCAAACGGGGTCGAGCAGGTGTCCAAACGCTCCAACAGTGTCCCTTCTGTCCCTCCTGACCCATTCTGAAAGATTTCCAGGTTTGCCAGGGTCACTCCATCAAGGACCATACGCTGACGAGTCTTGGCAAAGAAACTGGCGGGTCCGTCAGCTTTCTCCATCTCAACATCAACAGGGACATATTCTTCAAAGTTAGCCATGGAGAGCAGCTCCTGGTCTACCAGACATTTCTTCAGGTAGAATATGCATCCACCCAAAGCCGACAGCGCCAGTTCATAGCCCTCTTTAGGAGAAAGGCACAGTGAATCACTCTCAGAGGTCATCTTTTTGAGAAGGGCTGGAAGAAAACTGCTCCCAGCCCCCTGCTCCTTGCCAGCAGTCTCTTTAAAATAATCTTCTTCTGAAAGGGTTTTAAGTGTCTTCTGAGAATCCCAGAATTGTGTTCCAGCATTAAGTCCTTCCTGCAGAGCAGAGGACAGAGAGGCCTTGAGTATTTTGCGTGTTTCAACAGACGGATTCCCCTTTTCAAAGAGCACCTCAGCGGGGGCAAAGTGTGCGATAAGGGTGCGCAGGCGTGAGCAGTGACGATCATCTGGGAACTGACCGACATGGAAACAACCCACAGAGGTATCAACAAAGCAAACTCCGTAGGTGCGGTAGCGACCAGAGCTTTCCTCTTCAGCCTTCTCTTTCAAACTCAGGAGAAACTTGCTCTGACTCTCTGAAGGAGCACCGTCCAACACACTGTAGGTTTGGGTACCACGCGTGATAATCCGGCACACTTCTCTTCTCACTACACGGTCAAATTTCGTGGGTTTGGCCAGGGTTTTACAGCGAGCCTCCATCATCTCTGGGGTCTCCGTCTGCTCCACACGAGCAACCTTGTAGCCTTTCTGGACCAGTACATCTGAGAAACGTCCAAAGCCGATCTCTGGAAAGCCCGAGTGTGCCCAGGTCCCCTTCATGAATGTCAGTCCCATCTCGCTGACGCCGATCACAGCGTCCATGTGGTAGAGCTCATAAAACTTTCCTACCTTGTAGAAAATCACTGTATCGAACATCTGAGATTTGAGCTGCCACCACCGACGCATACCAGGAGTGTTTCGGTTGAGGAAGTCTTCTGGCACATACAGGGTGGTAAGATCGTAGCCGTCCTCTGTCTGTCGCCGCCTTTTGCTGTCTTTCCTCCTGCCATCCTGCAGCCACTCCAGCTTCTCATGATCCCAAGTTGTTGCACCTCCAGTGGAGCCTGATCCATTTGTCTGGCTCTCAAAGTTGTCAGGAGCAGAGAAGGCTGATAAACGAGACTTTGTGTCGGCTGCGACTGCTGTCGGGGCTTGTTTGGGTGCAGCAGACGGTCCAGTGGGTATTTTTGCTTTTGTATTTGCAGCCTTTTCTGCAGGACGTTTGCGCTTGATGGGCTTGATGGGGCTTTCTGCCTCTGACTCTTGGGTGCTCTCCTCTTCACTGCTCACTGCGCCTTCTTCCTCTTCATCCTCACTGCTAGATGCAGCGTGGTCTGGTTTGAACTCCTCATCTGATCCGTCACTGTCTGAGGCTACAATAATGCGACGCCGCTTGGCTTTGTTCCCTTTCTCTGCTGAGGCACGGGATGAACGTCGACTGACTTTGGATGGCTTCACTTTCTCTTCTTTCTCTTCATCCATATCACTGAGCTCTTCATCAGTCAGTGTCGAGTTGTCGAGCTGGAATAAAAACAAACACAAAAGAAAACATGTAATTAAAATTTTTTTAAAAAGAAACTTGCCTAACTGACCTGATCAGATATGACAAACAAACTGTATTACTACTGATGAAAAGATGAACAAGGAATAACGCTGTCATTTAGTCGTAAAATGTAGCGTTTTATGTCCATATACTAATTAGAAATACTCAAACCTCCATTTCTTCATCATCATCATCCCCCTCTTCGTCATCAGATGGATCCATGCAGAGAGGCATCTTCAGTCTTTTTTCAGGAGTATCAAACATAACTGCATCTGCAAGCTCCATCCCCCGACGAATGACAGGTTTGCCACTGAAGAACACCCCTCCAGTTTTAGCGTCACTGCTGTCAGAGCCTGTGCAAATGGCAAAATAATCCAAATCACTTTGTGGACAAAGCACACAGCCGTCCCAAAAAGGCTTATTTTTTCCTCAGAAATACTTATTATGACAATGAACAACAGTGTCCAACCTTGATACTCTCTGACATATTTGACGCTAACCCATCCTCTGGTAGGAGGCTCGTCAAAGAAATGAACGTGTATGCGCTGGGCCCGACCACGGCCCCTCATCTGCTGCCCAGTCAGAGGTTGGGGTACCACCATGCATGGCCACCAGGGGTGGCCCTCCAGTTTTGCCCACACAAGGGCCCCAGCGTTGAATAGGCATGTGGAGCTGCTGGAAAATGAGGAAAAAAAGAAAAGTCACATTTTGGAAGTCATAAATTGTCCAGACCACTACAGGCATGTCTTCATTAAAGAACAATAATAACCAGTTTCCTCTGTGTATTACAGTTATTGTAGTCAGAACTGAGTCCAGCTGCAAATCAACATGATCATAACTACTCATTAATCTGCAGATTATTTACTTAATTAGTCTACTAATGATGTTGCATATAAACAGCAGAAATGTCCATCACAAGTACCTAAAGTCTAAGTTAACATCATTAGCCTGATTAAAACTCAAATATCATCATCAAGTTAAAATTATATCTGAACAGAAAAAAGTAGTAATTCCTCACAGCTGTGAAGCTGGAGCAAAAGAATTGCCAGCAGGAAAAATAATTTAATTTAACTCATAATTTCAGCTCTAGATTAATCACTGGTCCGTTAATTAACATTGACATGGTTGACAACATTTAAAAACGGACCTCAGGTTGTAGGGCAGTGTATGGTTGTGAAACTGCAGCACTAAGAACTGTAGTCGTTTTGCAATAATCACAAACTGGAATAGAGCAAATCTTTATATTGCACTGAAAAATTAAACTACTTTCTCTTGTGCATTTGTCTTGAGTAAGTTTAATGTGAGGACATTTAGCAGGCTGAATTCAAATTCAAACTGCAAGTCTTGAATTAAAACATGCATGTCCAGTACAAGATAATAACACTGACTTGTTGTTGAATTGTCCATTATCCATTATCTATACACCGCTTAATCCTCACTAGGGTCGCGGGGGGCTGGAGCCTATCCCAGCTGACTTAGGGCGAAGGCAGAGACACCCTGGACAGGTCACCAGTCTATCACAGGGCCACACTTAGAGACAGACAACCAAGCACACTCACATTCAAACCTACGGACAATTTAGAATCACCAATTAACCTCAACATGTTTTTGGACTGTGTGGGAGGAAGCCGGAGAACCCGGAGAGAACCCACACTGCACATGGAGAACATGTAAACCCCGCAGTTGAATTGTGATCATACTATTTGGTAAATTCGCTGCATGCATTTGCTCTGATTCACAACACGATGTAATGTCACGTGGCATCTTTTCATCGAGTGTGATGATATAGTTTTGAAATAGTCATTCTGCTCTTAGTCTGCCACACTGTGTTCACTTTAGCCCTTTTTTTTTTTATTATTTTAATTTTATAGACTTCATTTACTATATTTTCTAACTTGTTGTGATTTGGTGTTGTCTTTTTTGCTGCTGTATCAAAATAATTTCCCCAGTCTTGGATAAATAAAGTATTTCTATGCAATTCTATTCTATGTGGTGCCAATACAAATTGTCCACTATGACAAGTAACTATAATGGGTAAAGTTCCAATTTAATCTCAGTATCCCACTTTAGCAATCACAGGGATCAGCATTGATTTGACCAATAGAAAACCTTGCACTACATCGTCTGCACAGATGTGATCAAGACACCTGTGATCATTTATAAGAGTCAAATGCACAACAATGTCACATCTGAAATCAACCTGACAACTAACTAGCCATGCAACTAGCATGTAGGTTTTCAATAGTAACTCGTCCCAAAGAGGAGTTACTTCTTTCTCAAAATAAATTCAGGAACAAGTTACTATATGAGGCCTTAGAAACGGTCTGAAGCAGAACGAAGACAAACAGTGCACAACGTGTCTCCAGCAATTACACGGCTCCCAAAGTGAACTCACCTGTCTTTGGCTGCCGGGGTCTTGTCGCCGAATAGTTTCTTGAATCCCCCGCTGGTAGTCTTGGAGTTACTCTTCTGCTGAACTTTGCTGGCCTTGGCTGGCTGCTGGGTGGGTGTCTGCTTGGCTTGCTCCTTGGGAGAGGAGTTGGACTTCTGCACGGAGGAGGGCAGGTCTGCCTCGGTCGGAGAGGGACTCGGCTTCGGCTTGGAGACCGGCGGCGGAGACTTGGTGAAAAAATTGAAAAGCGAGCTTTGCTTCGCCATGTTAGCAAGTTTTAAAGTTATATTTCTTTTACTATATTGCGGAGATAATCCAGCCGACTATGTCCTGAAGCATCACCTAACACCCAGCGTCACGGCGCGGGCGCACTCCGTTCGCGGGAAACCATGCGCAGGCGCTGTTGTGGGCGGGGCCATGACTCTCCACCAATCACAAGCGAGAACACTGTGACATGAAGTCACGTGATCCAAACATGAGCTCCCTTGTTGGCCATGTTGTTGGCGCCCAGATATTTTTTTTTCTTCTCATTTTCCCCTCCAACTTTATTTTCAAGTGTATACGCAGTGAGTGTGTACCTCGTGTCTCAGATGGAAGTAGGTGCTTTCAGTGTCACATTTTTGAAAAACTGTCACAGAAAATACAACACAGTAAATCAATGAACAGGCCCTGATCCTCACCTGTAAAGCCTCCCAGAAATTTAAAAAAGGACACAATTGGATACTAAATGACTACAAACATACACAAACAACTGCAAAGAGAAGTAAAATATCTGCAAGTTGCATAGTTTGAGACACAAACAACACGGCTGCATGGTTTGTGGTCTTTTATCTCTTAAAGTCTTGCATCGCCGTAGGAGGCATGTGGTGCCTTCCACATGTTTGTGTCAAAGAGTCCATTGTTTCATCCATAGAGGTAAGTGTGCCTGATCAAAGACAAGATAAGGTATGAAATCACATCTATCTGCATGTTCTTGTTGCTCTGATTATTATAAAATATTTCTTGAATTGTAATCAGTTTCATTGGCCATTACTAAAATAGAATTTGACCCGTTTTTGCATTTTTATTATAAATGTAGAGTGCCTAATAAATTATCTGTCAAAGAATACTATACACCACAATGTTCACATAGTAAATTAAATTCAGAAGTGGCACAGTCTCTGAACAATTTTCTTGTTTAACCCTGAAATTGAAATAGAAAACCCATCATCTTGTCACCCCAGGTTATGAGCTTTGTGTCTTTTTTATGGTATAATTTGTCATGGTCTACATCTACAATAAAGCTCTCCATTAACGGAAGATAAAACAGGGCCTATAGCTATTTTTACTGGCTGTGTGACGTTTGTGTGGGAGTATAAAGATTGAGATTGTCATATCAAGAGTACAAGGAGTTCATTATTTTATCAGTTTAACTGATGATTAGAGGTGTAAGTTACAGGAGCAAACTGACAGCGCAGGAAATGAATGCCATCTATGTAAGTGTAGATTAATGTACTTTGAAATTTCTTGTCACATTGGTGGTGTAATATTTTGTACTAGTCATTTACCACCAGTAGAGAGCAGCAGAATACTGAAAGCTTCATGAGTAATCGCCTCTTTCTTAGTATACTCTTCTCGCTGTGTAGCTCCAGGATGGCAGTACAAGTATTCTAGTTTCTTCACTACAATGTTCAAGGTAGTATTTGACACAAAACACCCCCGTGTTTTCTTCACCCCGTTATCTTTGTGTTAACTATCTGCTGTAAAAATAACACATAAATGTTGATTTGTGGCCATTTTGTTCAACGTGTCATACTGTTACACAATTTGATCAGTAGGAACAAAAAGAGCAGTGGGATCTTGGAGCTATTTCGGAATAAGAAATAGCTTTGTTTCAGCAAAACTGCCCAGCTGAAATATTATAGTCTACCTGGTAATGTTCTTCCAAGCTGTTATGTACTAAAATACCCAGCAGCGTATATTGATGCTATTGTCAATGTACAGTCGAAAGAAACACAGCTATCACCACCAGAAAATAAGGGTGGTCTTACATATTCAAAACATCCAAACATCCACCCACGCACTTTTTGGCATATGGTGTGTGGGTGACAGAAAGCATCTAATTAAGATGGTATTATGAAACCTTACACAGTAGTTGTTATGAGGAGCTCTTTCAATTCACTGAGATTTAGTGCCACTAATCAACGAGTAAACATGAACAATATTGTCATGCCGTCATCGGCATCTAGAGGGGATTTACTAGACAAAATGCACACAGTGTCACGAACCGTATGTCACCTGTTTTGTATGAAACCACAATTAGCAGGGTGACTTTTAGCAGAACGAACGCAGCTAGTTATGTTTGAAGTTGTACATAATTAAAGATCTTGTACACTCTGGGGAAAACAAGAAAATTTCTCATCCTTAGTAACTTTCAGCTCTCCAGGAAGTGGAAGTCTGCAAAAGAGCAGCTAATTAACAGAAACGAAAATTTCCTGAAGCGAACAAAAGCCCTTTTTTCACAGTAGAAATTTTTACTTAAAAAAGTCACAGGTGTTTCCTAATGACATTAACTATGACTAAACGATATTAAAGCATCCCAGTACGATATTACAATGCGACATTAAGCTGCAACATGTAAAGCAGATAAATGTAAATTACCATTGATTTTAATACTTACACCTGCTTTTACTCCATTTAAATGTGTCCCATTCTGCCAATGACTCGAGAGATGGTTTTCTAACATTTCCAATACGATACCCAAGGTGCTGCTACTTGATTCTTATGTCATTGCTGGGTTGTTGCTAAGTTGTTGCAAAACAGGTTCTGAGTTGTTGCTAAGAGGTTGCTACGGTGCTCATGGGGTTTAGCTGTGGGGTAGTTTTAGGTCACTAGGTTGTTGCTATGGTTTTCTAAGTTAGTAGCGCTGCTAGTGGTCTCAGTGGTTCGTTAAGGAGACCTGTGGAAATTACTTTAAAACCCAGACCTTATTATGTATGCCAGGATGCAATAAAATGGCCCGCAACATTAAATTAGATTTTTTTAAAAAAAGAGTGGTGGAACAAAATGCAAATCAAAAAAGCAGCTCAAAGACTTAATAAATGCATTCTTCAATCATCTTCATTGTTGCCTCTCTGTCTTTGCATACTGCATTCTTTCTTTCCTGTATTCCTGCAGCACATCCTCCATCCACAGTGGCCGTTTGCCCGGCAGGCACACTAATAAGGCTGATGCAACAGCGTAGGGTTGACAGGGTGAATTTTTGTAGTCAGTGCTAAACTGGATTTTATGATATCAATTGTTTCCTCACCTCTCACCCTTTTAGAACATTGAGAGCAGCATCGCTACAAGCCGGAGAGCGATACACACCCGACTGTAAGGCTCATAAAGTATTTATATTCTGAGCACAGAAATCCTCTTAAAAGACTCCCTCTGAACAGACAGCGCGCTTGTTTGAGTTGTGTCAAGTGTTTTAGGAAATGAAGTGGGCAAGATGTGCGAGGTGAAGGCTGGGATAACATTGCAGAATGTTAAATCTTGTTCTGCCCTCAGTGATGTGGCCATGCCTGGTCTTAAACCTGCTTCAGGCAAGATTGATGTGTGAAAATACAACCATCTCATTTGCCTAAATCGTGAATGGGGCTGAAAAAGAGAGCATTATTCCCTCCCACCTCATTGAGAGCTGCAGATTAAAAGTCATGTGCCTGGAATGGTCACTTGTGGGATATTATGTTTGTGCACACAATGTGATAAATTGAACCTTGGTGAGCAACAAAATATTTGTTCTCACCAAACAGCAGCGAGCAGGCTGAACTGAGTGATGCAAACTAAATCTGCTATCGTTCATCATTTCCATATCTAAAAAGGCGAAATGAAGAAGATGCTTATGTCATGTAGAAAGTCTGGATGGTGAAATACAGGACATGCTGTCCTCTAAAACTGTTATCTGTTGGGAATGCCAAATTGCAAAGTTGTGTAGCTTTGACGGAACGTACTTTCTCAGCAGATTGTCTTTTGTCATATTTGGGTGATTTTGAATGCCACGTGCTGCTGTAAGTTTAAAAACCATGCACTAAGAAACCTTATTAACATATTGTTAAATATCACAACTAGTTGTCGCTGCCAAAACTTTAGAACACTTCCTATGTATTCTTATTTGGGACACTGCCAGGATGTCAGGGGCAGAGCTCCGGTGGGCACTGTTTAATTATTTCTTTGCTGAAAGTAAGAACATCTGTCAAAATAATGCAGCACCTGAATCTGTTTGGATCCTGTGAGTTATCCTGCACCACAACCATGAATGCAGGACAGGACGGAGAGGCTGGTTTTAAAAGAAAAGGAGAAAAAAAAAAGCGCAAATGCCTCAAAACTGAATTATTAATATCAAATTTAATAGCCATCTCTATAGACGTCTATCGGGAGCAGGGTAAAAGCAGTAAAGCTGATGAGAGAACAGAGCCTCTCTTTGCATCTCTCTTGTTTGTTTTCCTATTTCCCTTTGATGGGCTGCACCACCAATCGCCTTACCTGTTAGTGTTTTTATTTATTTATTTACCCCCCCTTTTTTTTCTTGTTCTTCCTGTGTGTCTTTCCTCTTCTTTTACCGCTCCCCGAATCAGCCGCTGTTAGAAAGCAAGCTCCGTGGGACTCCTCTCAGCATAATGAGGACTTTCACATCAGACTTATGACGAGAGTAATTTCCCGAGCACTGCTGGGACTGTGTGTGTATATATATATATATATATATATAGAGAGAGAGAGAGAGACGACATGAAATGAAATAAAAAGTCAGCCCTTCCTCTTCATCCTTCCTCCCTTCCTTCCTCTCATCTTTCTCTTCCTCCGTCTCCGCTGCTTAATGGGGTGACCAGATAAACACAGGTTCTCTCTTTGTTCTTGCTTCTATTTCACACCGACATGAGACGGAGTTTATGATCACAGGGTTTCATTTCTACTTTTGTTTCTTGGCACCAAAACGCGGAGACCAATTAAAAGACCTAATGCAAATGATTAATGCCTCCTGCTGCCTTCTGCTGTCCCTCCTCGAGCTCTTTTCTGCCACCGAACCTTATTGAAACACCATAAATGTGTAAGGTTCGGTCACATATTAATTCAGCCGCCTCTGGGGGAGCAGAAGTGGGAGCCGTCGTTGCTGATAGTGGAGTGATAGTGCAGTCAGCAGATTTAACAGCGACTGCAGTATCTTTTTCTCTACACGGGGAAAGAGCACATTTGTGTGGAGTAAATGGAGAAACGAGAGAAGAGAGATTGAAAAAGATATTGCAGCGTACAGTCGGCTATATTGTCCTCCTCGTGGTGCGGTATGAACGATTTCGTCTATATTTAGATGCATTTAGTCAGCGAGTCTTTGCAAATGAAGTTATTTCGA